AGCCATAGGTAGCCATGACGAGGCCTTCTAGTGGGAGGGCATTAGGAGAGACAGCTGCCATACATGGCGTGATGGGGATCCTGAAGGAAGATGGCCGCCAACTCCTTTCAGTTCATGGATTGGGAGGCTCACAGTGCTCTCCCATAACTGCCTGAAGAACCTGGAAGGAAGAGACAAACCTTTCACTTCCGTAGGACTAAGGGAATTTCTTGGACTTACAGGTTTTCAGGTGTGGGAGTTAGTTCTGTACCATGTGACCTAGGATTTATGCCAGGAGTCATAATGTATGAAGGCTGTACATGTAAGTCAAGGGTGTCTCAGGTCTGGGCGTCAGGGCTAGCTGGGATTACCCTCAGTGGCATGAGGGAGGGAGAAGACGCAACTCTTTGGAGGGATGCCAAGGTTATGGCCAAGGTTATGGCAGTGCTCTGTAGCTGGCAGGGTTGGGGTTAATTGCAGGTGGTAAGGCTTGGCTTTTGGCGAGAGGATGTGTAACCTAACAGTATAGAGATCTAAAGTAGATGATGGCCTCATGAAAGGGATTCAGATATGCAACAGGGCCGCTTGCATTGTTGATCTTGTTTGACTTTTTATTTTTTGTTGTTTTTAAAATTATTTCTCACTGTGAGCATGCATGTATGAGTGAAGAAATCTGCAGAGGTCAGAAGGCACCAGAGTCCCTGGGACTGGAGCTACAGGTTGTTGTGAGCTGCCATGTGGGGGTTGGCACCAAACTCTGAAAAGGCAGTGAGCACTCTTAACCACTGAGCCATCCCTCCAGCCCGTTTTACTCCTTTTCATTCAGCACAGGCTCTTAGAAGACAGCCCCAGGCTGAAGAGGCACAGGCGAGCTGAGGCAAAGGCGAGGTCAAAGGAGACATTGTTTCCTTCCTTGGCTCCAGTGGTATCCATTTTTGTCCGGTATTTTTACCCCAGCCTTATGCAGCCAGATCAGATAATGCCTCTTGGCTTTTCTGTTATGGAAAGCAAGTGTCAGCGTGTTTGGTTTCTGTTTCAGTTGCTTTTGCAAACAGTGGTCTGTGTCAGACTTCGGCAACCCTCCACCCCCAGCTTCGGAGGGAGGCTGGCTTCCTCCCCATGTTCTCTGTGTCTGTTTTACTGTAGGCTCCTACCCCCACCCCATGAAGAGCCTGGAAGCTTCTTTGGATATGTTTTTCTTTTCTGTAGACTATCAGATGTCACCACCCGCCTCCTATTTTTTGTTCAGTTGGGAAAGCCAACATCCATCTCTCTTCACAGAGCTCTGCCTTGTTGTTAAAACTGTGTATACAGATGGGAATGACGTCAGGTCCCTGATGGAGTTCTGAAAATTATCTCCAGCCTGTTTATATATAATGTCTCTAACGGAATATTTAAATCCACAAGGCATAAACAACAACGAAGGCTTCGTCCTTCACTTCTTTGTCCTCCTATCCTCTTCCCCCCCCCATCGTTTTCCCTTCTGTGTTATTTGTTTTCGGGTCCTGTAACATCAGGGTCAGATTCTAGCTTGCACAGATTGGCTACTAAAGGGTGTGCTGGTTGGTGTTCTTGTTAACTTGACACACACCAGAGTCATTTGGGAAGCGGGACCCTCAATTGAGAATATTCTCCATCAGATGGACCTATAGGCAAATCTATGGGGCATTTTATTGATTAATGGTTCATGTGGGAGGGCCCCATTTACTGTTGGCTGTGCCACCCATGGGCAGGTGGTCCTGGGTTGTGTAAGAAAGCAGACTGAACAAGCAATGGGGAGCAGGCCAGTAAGCAGCACCTTCGGTGGCCTCTGCATTATTTCCTGTCCCTAGGTTCCCTTCCATGAGTTTCTGTCCTGGTTTCCCTTCATGAGAGACTGTAGGCTGTAAGATAAAATAAACCCTTTCTTCCCCACGTTCATTTCAGTCAGTGTTTACCACAGCAATAGAAAACAACCAAAAACAAAGGGAGTCCCACTTGGTTTCTAGGCCAAGTTCTATTCATTAAAAACCAAACCAAAGCTTGGGTCTCTATGTCCCCACTCCTCCAGGTCGCTTGGACTGGAGAGCTGGGGGTGGGAAGGAGGCGTCTTCTCTCCCCTCTTTCTGCAGTCTTCCTCCTGCACGATCAGGATAGGGAGAAAAGGTGAAGGGCAGGGTGGGTTTTTGTTTTATAGTTTGTTTTTTTAATCGACCAGCTGTAGACTGGCTATGAGTGGATAAGGGACAGGATTTATTGATTCAGTCTAAATCCAACTGACATTTTTGGCTTTTGTTTAGAAGCAGTGGGTAATGGGCTCATATATTCTTACTGCTTCGTCTGGGAAGAACTTGGGAATTTCCCTGCCCTCCACTGCATTAGCTGTCTGGGTTTTTCTAACTGCCTGGAAAGGCACATTTAAAGAAGAGAAAATGAGCTGAAGGGAGGAAGTCACTCCCTTGTGACAAGATCTTTTTAGATAAATAAATAAGTAAATAAATAAGTTTGTCTTTTTCTTTTTAAAGCAGAAATACCCAAAGAGACATACCATGTAAGTGAAAGAGAGAGTATAAAACAAACCTTGCTACATCTATGCAGAGTGCATAGATCAGTCCCATGCAGGCCGGCCTATCTATTTATCTATCTATCTATCTATCTATCTATCTATCTATCTATCATCTATCTATCTATCTATCTATCTATCTATCATCTATCTATCTATCATTTAGTTATCTATCTATCATCTAGTTATCTATTATCTATCTATCATTTATCTATCTATCTATCTATCTATCTATC